GAAGCCTTCTCCAAGGAAGAAGTCTCCGCCAGGTTTGCCAGAGACTGAGACGGATTCAAGGTTGGGCAGGAAGTGGAGGGGCTGGGGACACACAGAACATTCCAAACAGAGAAATAGCACGAGGGAAAATATAGAGGTGTGAAATAGCATGCTTTAAGCCTCCTCTTCTTTCTTCGTTGGGATGTAACTAAACTTGCGTCCCCCTCCCCCCTTTTTGTTTTACTTTTTACTATTAAAAAAATCTTTTAAAATTGAAGTATAGTTGATTTACAACGTTGTGTTAGTTTCAGGTGTACAGCACAGTGATTCAGTTATATAGATATAAAACTGCATCCCCTAATTCTACACCGATCGGTCTATGAAAGCGCTTCTCAAACCATCTCTGGTGAAAAACGTGTGTGTGTGTGTGTGTGTGTGTGTGTGTGTGTGTGTGTGTGTTTAATTTCCAGTCCCTCACAAACTGATATTTGCGGCCCTACTATGTACGATGATTATGGAACTTATGCCACATGCCACTCACCGTGGAAGTTTGAACCCATCTATTTCCTGTTCAACAGGAGTCCACTGATCACCCGCTTGGACGTCGCAGCAAGGTCAAGTTGCCTTCAGGCTTCCAGAATGGTTACTCTCAATTTCTGTGCTTTTCTTATTGTGGACAAGCACTGGTCCACGGACCACACTTTGAGTAGCACGGGTTTATAAGATGGCGAATCCCTTAAAGGGAGGAACCATTTCTTTATATTTTATCCATTCTTTGGATTTGTAGCAGACCACCCAAAAGATGTCCTCTCCTTTCCCAGAAAGGGATGCCTACCTATTAGTTTTCCCTGTGTTTTGAATTTGGAAAGTTCTGCCAGTATTAAATACTATTATTATTATTAGCTTTGCGCCCACTATAGTGGATGTCATTTAATTAGAACTGCATAATAGGCAAATCTGCCTTAATAGGCTGGGATGTGGCTAAGAAAACATTTCGCGTCTGTGTCTGCATTCTCTGTTCTGTGGCCATCACACCATGTTCTCTGGCAATGGGTCATTTTGGAGACCTTGGGCAGGGTTCAGGGCAGGTTATTTGGCTACTGATTAACACTTAATTAGCACCTTTTTCATGTAGCACAGCAGCGACTTTGTAAATTTAAAAATTTCAGGGGACCACTTAATGCGGAATTAAAGTACAAGTGCAATATTTAAGACGCATGAAATTGTTTTACGCATTACGGCATTAACTAGCTCTTAATTTATGCAGTGCATGCCAGCGAAGGGCAATTAAAGTGTAGCAGGGAAAAAAATTATAGATCTCTGCGTTGTCCTGTCTTTTCCTCTAACGATGCTTTTGAAGGCTTTTGCTACATTCGTATCTCAACTCCTATTCTAGATTTAGGAGTAAATGGTAAGTTCTGAGACTTGTTTGCCCCACAGGAATTGGCATTATCTTTAAGCTGAAGCTACCTCTAACCATGATGTTCCTCTAGGGCCCAGAAATCCACTGTGGCCTCAGTCATTGGTCCAGGGATAGGCACATAACCCCACTATAGCCTTTGGGATGTCAGGAGACGTTTGCTGGAATTTATGGGAAAGTGAGGCTAACAGTGTCTTCCTTCGTAGTTGTTGGAAAGAGTGGTTCTCCTTTCCCCGGTCAGTGTGGTGTGAGGATGTGAGGCTGGGAAGAGTGGCAGCCATTTTGTAAGCACTCCGGTGCTGCAGGGGGAGTCATTGTTTGGAATTTGGCCATAAATCCAACACCATGGGAGGCCATATGGCAAGATGAAGGGACACCCAATCCTGGAAGAAGTTGTGGCCTCTCCCGTTGCGGAGCACAGGCTCTGGACGCACAGGCTCAGCGGCCATGGCTCATGGGCCCAGCCGCTCCGCGGCATGTGGGATCTTCCCGGACCGGGGCACGAACCCGCGTCCCCTGCATCGGCAGGCGTACTCTCAACCACTGCACCGCCAGGGAAGCCCTGACGTCTGGACTTTTGAATTATATTGGAACCTATAAATATACTGCATATTCCCACCTCCCTGCCTTTATTCATTCCTGCTGCTCCCTTTGACTAGAACGCTCTTTCCTTCCTTCTCCATCCTTCAAGTCCAAGTCCTAATGCCACCCGTCTAAGAAGCTTTCCTCGAGCTGAACCATGCTCAGGATGGCCAGAACCATGCCCCCCTCCTCTAGGATGCTAACGCCCCTCACTTGAAATTCTCCTTCTGCAGGGAGCACACACTGCCCTGAAAAGCGTGAAGCTGCAAATGTGACTCTCCATCTCCCTTGAGAGGACCTAAGCTCTTTCTTCCGCCCCCAGCATTAGTGTTGCACCTGGCACACTGAGTCCGCAGAGCGCTGCAAACCCGTTCCTAGAAAGGAATGTTAGTGCGTAGTCGGAAGAGGAGAGAGTGCGTACGAGCATATGCTCTTCTTAGCTAGAGCCAGTAGGAGAAGGAAAAAACCTGGGTAAATGCTGCAGCTGGGTGGATTCCTGGGCCACTGGAGCTGCTGAGAGCCGGCAAGGACTTGCGATATGGAGGAGGAGTCAGTTACGAGCCAGTCAGAATATTTGTCTGTCCCTCTGTTGGTAACTTACACAGACGGATACAGTCTCCAAGTACAAAGTCGAGGGCTAGGAAAGTAAAAGTTTCCCCGTCACCTCCTCCTTCCCATACTCTATGTCCTCTTAGCAGACGGGGAGCTGAGCTGCCCTGATCCTCCTCCAGCCACTCGGAGTCTGGTCAGGTGACAGCCTCACCGTCCAGCTAGCGCTACGGCGTTGGTGGTGGCTCCAGCCGACGGCTGAGCAAGCTGGTGGCACTTGCGGCCGGCCATTAACGCCAAATGGGGCTCCTCTAATGGGCTCCCTTTGCTGGGAGCTGTTCAGATCTGCACTGGCGCCTGCCGGCTCCCCTGCCCAATCCCGCTTCCACCCTGCTCCTTTCAGGGCTGTTTCCCCAATAAACCCTTGACACTCCTGAGTCCATCTTACACCTGTTTGCCAAAGAACCCTCCCCAGAGGTAAAAACTGCTAACTCTTAGGGGTGTATTCTTCCAGCCATTTTTTTTCCTATTCATTTATGTACTTGTGTGTACGTATACCACCTAAAGATTTGTTATAATTCATTTTGTTTTTACATAAATGGGATCCTACTGTGTATGTGAACTATTCTACAATTTAAAACAATGTAGCACATCTTCATAAACAGTAGACATCAGTGCACGTAGGTATGTCTTTTTATTTGCTGTATACTATTCCACAGTACGGCGAGCCCATTGTTACTTAACCATTCTTATACTGATGGATATTTGGGTTTTCTACCTTCTCTTATTAATAATGCTGCTAGGAGCGTGCTATGAGCGGATTTCAAATAATAATAGCAATAAACTGAACACTATTCCAGACAGTTTATAAACCTGTATTAACCAAGCCCTTTTTGTGTTCTGATGCTTTGACATCTGGGGCTTTTGCTGACCCTGGAGGGACTGCCCCTCCCAGGATTTGCCAGTTCCTAGAGATAGTAAACAAACAACTTGTCTGAGTGTACCTTTCAAATGCGAACCAACCAATCCAGCACCTGCATCCCTCACCGTGTCTGACTCTCACACTCCAGGCCACTATCCCCCTGCCCTGATCAGACCGCTAGGGACAGCCCCAGTGCCCCGGAGCCCACTGAGATTATTCCAACTAGCCAATCCTAAACCTGCTTACCCTGCCTTGCCTGTTCCTTTTCACAGAAACCACGATAAAGGCTCTTGCCCGCCAGTTCCCGTTCTCCCTCTGCTTCCTGACCAACCCCAGTGCTTCCCCGTGTGCCCCTCCCCCCGTGGCCTAGCCTGCCCCCTCCTCTTGGGATTTGTAAGTATAACCAATTATCTTCTCTATGGCCGTCATCTCCTGCTCTGTTGGCATCACCAGACCTGAATAACAATAAAACCTATGGGGCCTCCGAAACAGGAGGACCTCTCATTGGCAAGGTGGAACGAACATTTTCTTCTTCTCCCGAAGGTTCCAGAATGCTTTCACTTGTGAACCCTTTCTGGGCGAATGGAAGTGCTAAATGTGCTGGGTTACTTAGGGCAGACACAGAAAAGAACTTCCTGCTGAAGGCCTCAGGAATTTACCACTCACCAGGGCACGGCTCCACCCCTCGCTAAAGGAGGCCACGAGGTTCGCCCCTCCCCCGCAGGTCCCTGCAGACAGCTGAGATCATCCTCACCTGAGAAGGGAGGAGGGGTGGGATTACCGCCCTCTCCGTTGCCCTGGGGCTCTGGGCCCGGTGACGCGGGGCGTCCTGGCGGAGGCTGGCCCATGTTCGCAGCTGCCTGCCGGGAGCCGGAGCCTGTCAGCTCGAGCGGCAGCGAGGGAAGACGTTTCTGACACAAAAGCCCAGGGGAATCCGCGGAGGAGCTGGGCTGTCATTACTTATTAACAATGGGCCTGATCCCCAGCCGGGCAGGCCCGGGGAAATAGCCTGTGGGGAGGCCGGCCTCCCCGCTACGAGGTGAATTAACACTTTCAGGGCAGGAGTGAGCTGTTCGGGGGGAGGGGGTCAATTGTCACATTTTTGCATGTAAGAGGGGCCATCCTTTACATACGAGGGGCGCGCTCGTCCTCATCTTCCCCTCCCCCTCTCGGTGTCCTCATTCTTCTCTTCCGTTCTCTTGCCCCCTATGGTTTTAAGCCGGCAAACCCACAGGATGTGGGAGACTGCGCTCCTAGGGAAAAGGGAGATTTGAGCCTGCACGCAGCCAGAAACCTGGGGTTAACGTCCTGAGAGAGGGCCCGCGGAGGCCGGGAGAGGCTGCTGGAGCTGGCAGCTCCTGGTTGCAGACCAGGAAAGGTCAGCAAACTAGCTGGTCGTTAAAGCTGGTTATTGCCTATTTTCTCCCCCCGAGGGGTCCTGGGCTCCGGTGCCAGCACGCTCTGTCCCGGCTCCGCGATCTCAGGCGGGCAGAGCCACCCACCCGTGGTGTCGCAGGTCGGGTTTCCTGGGGAAGCAGATGCCGAGACGGAGATTAGCATGCGGGACATTTTGTTAGCATTCTAGGATCAGCACCTGGAGAAGGGAGGTGCTGGAAGCCGAAGCCAGCAAAGGAGGAAACTGAACTACAACGGTAGCCCGACGGAAGCCTCGGCTGACCCCACAGGGAGCTCCGGAGCTGGGGTGACCCTTCGGAGTGGTTCGGAACTGGGCTGGAGGGGTGAGCCTCCGGAGGCTGGCGTGGGCTGCTCCAGAAGCCGGCATGGCCCTGGGCAGGGCGGTTTCTTCAGCCTTGGGGAAGGGCTGACAGCTGAAGTCAGGCTGCAGGCAGCCCTCCAGCAGCCGAGGGTGTAAGTCCTTCCTTCCGGAAGAGGGAACACAGCCGCTACCATCACCCTGCCTCCCCCGGAGGACGGCTGAACTGAGGCTTCGCCAAATCGCAACGGGGGCATTCCTCAGGATTCCTGCCTCCGCACAGAGGCCAGCCTGGCCTCCTTTCCTGCTGCATCTCCTCCCACCTCTCCTCCCATGCCTCTTTTCTTCCCTCTTCTCTGCAGGGGCTATTCCAGAGGTTTTCAAAATTTGAAAGGCCGTCCCATCCGGTGGGCCAGCGGAACTGCCCTAATTGAGGCCGAAGGTCAGGGAGCCCCTCCCTCTGGCCACCGTTGTCTTGCTGTAAAACACTGTAATCTGTAAAAAGCTGGCTGGCTGAACCCAGAGCATTTTTTTCCTTTCTAATTGGGCGGTTCCAAACTTCACCACAGGGGGTGCTAAACTGTCACGGGCTCTTTTATCTGTGTCAACAGGAGCAGGAAACGTACAGTTGTTATGTGTCTGTAATGTAAATTCCGTGTCCGGATGTATGTATCTGTTCGGTTTCATCTACTTTAGGAGAAGGTAGTCGGCCTAATTGGGGACACGCATTTAGGAACAGTCGGCCATTTTATCACGAGTCCACGCTCCAGAGCCCCCCAAGACCTGAGCTTCAATCAGCACCAGAGCTCTTGTTCATTAGTATAAAGGGCCTTAGAAACGAGTTCCCACTGGCGGAAGCAGTTCGAGGCGGGGGGATTGGTCAGGAATAGGAGCGGTACTTCGGCTCTTGCAGGTGCAGACCGGGAAAATCTGGTGTGCTCCGTGGTTGGTTCTCGTAGGAACGGCACCATGGGCTTGATTCTTAAGTGGCCCTGCGTGCATCTAGCGGCTGATGTGGTGGATTGGGCGCGCCTGGAGTCGGACTAGAAGGTTAGAGAATCCCGCTGCAAGACTTTCCTTGCATTTGCCTCAGGCACACTTTCCTGAGAGGCGGCTGCTAGAGCTTTTAAAGGATGGAGGGCTGGAACGTCACGGAATTCACAGAACCAGCTATATGGCTGCTTTGCGTAGCTTGTTCAGAACTTGGCCTGAAGACTTCCTTTCACAATATCCTGGTGGCATGGTATGGAGAGAGGCCCTACTCCCTCGCCCACCTCGAAAAAGGTACAGAGACTTACCAAAAAGAACCTAATGGGGTTTTTTGCAAGACCAAACTGGCTTAGGTCAATTAGCGCCAGCCTAAAACTCCACCCCAGATACTCTATAAAACCTTAGTCAGCTGTGAATTCCCACCTTCTCACATCAATAACCCCTGTACCTCCATATTTTCTCACGGTATGTATAATAGGGGTCTAATCCTTGCGTCCTCTGTCATAAGTTGTAAGGACTATATATATTGTGTTCTTAAACCCTGCCGAAAGAGGTTGGATTCACAAATTGGAGACTTATGTCTTGGGGTTGGGGGGAGGTTAAAAAAAAAAAAATCAGTGCTCAGAAGTGTCCGCAGCAGGGAGGCCCCTGGTGTTCTTTATCAGCAGAAGCGTTTATTAAGGGCCGGCGTGCACCGGGACCACGAACCGCACTGTCTCCACGTTTCTAGCTCAGATGAAGCTTGACTAGGAGCAGTGTCCATCCACACATGGATCCTGCACACAGTCAGATAATCAGTGCACAACTCAGGTGAGGAGATTAGATTAGATCATTAGATCTGACGGCTCGGAATGCTGGTTGCCTGCTGAGGAAGGGAACCGGGGCTGTGATTTACGTCCTCAACTTGGGTTAAATCTTCTCTCCCTACAGCCTGGTCCTGAGGGGTGGAGAGTCAAAGTCACCAGGAAACAGAGGGTTCTCAGCCAGCGCTATTGTGCTCACCTGTATCAGGTAAGCCCCAATGCTCAAGACCTTAGAGCACAACTTTGGTCCTGAGTGTCTTTCCGTCCCTTTAGTGGACAAAGCGTTTTCACTGTCAGTATCTGGTTGGACCTTTACAGCTGCTGAAAATGTGAGCGTTGCAGGGCAGACAGCTGCATCTCCTTCCCCTTTGGCAACCATAAATTTGTTTTCTATGGGTCTATTTCTGTTTTGTAAATAAGTTCATTTGTGTCATTTTTTTAGATTCCACATATAAGTGATATAATGATATTTGTCGTTCTCTGTCTGGTTTACTTAGTATGATAATCTCTAGGTCCATCCATGTTGCTGCAAATGGCATTATTTCGTTCTTTTTTATGGCTGAGTAATATTCCATTGTGTATATACGCCACATCTTCTTTATCCATTCATGTGTCGATGGACACTTAAGTTGCTTCCATGTCTCGGCTGTTGTAAATAGTGCTGCTATGCATATTGAGGTGCATGTATCTTTTCGAATTAGCATTTTCGTCTTTCCCGGATATATGCTCAGGAGTGGGATTGCTGGATCATATATGGTAACTCTAGTTTTTTTGCAAACATTACTTCGTGATGATTTAGTTGAGGGACGTCCCTGTCCGGGCCAATAGAGCTTAACAGGGATTCTGGGGGGGGGGGGGGCGTTTCTCAGAAGTATTTTTCTCCTCGAAAAAAGAGATTGCTGCCACCATCACCCATCCACGTTCTACAGCTTTCAAATGCTGTTGTAAGGATATGAGATATTGGAGCAGCAGCAGCCATTTTGTGACTGTGAGGGGATGATGGAACAGAAAGGTAGAAGGAGCCTGGCTCCTTGATGACCTCTTTGGCCATCAAACCCAAGACCACCTGCCTCTGAGCTTCCTGTCATATGCAAGATTAATATACCCTTATTGTTTAAAATGCTTTTTATTGGCTACACTGCTGAGAGCATCCTACTGGGTACAATCCCCATTTAATAGTTTAAAAAGTTAGGCGAGATTAGGTCATAGAGCTAATTAGTGGCAGAGAGGGGCCTAGAATCCAAGGGTTCCAATTTCATCCAGGGTACTCTTCTCTACCTCTGAACTCTACAGAGCCTTAGGGAACCCCGGGGTCCTCCTCAAGGCCAAGGGTGCCAATGATTAGGCTCTGTGCCCCTGTCTCTCTTCCTACACCCAAGTCAGAGCAGCATGGCTTTTATCTGATTTATCTTATTGGCCTCTCACTAACATTCTGTTTGAAAACAAAAGACTATGAGGCTTAAACTTATTTCAAAACCACTGTCCCACCCCCTTACCGTTTACAACAGCGGCCAGCTCTTTACACCACCAGAGTGGAAATTGCAAAGAAAGTGTCTTTTCTAAGAGGAAATGTGGGGAAGGGGGGATATCTTAGTTCCCAGGTTTAAGCCCAGAGGTCCTAGCAAACCGCTCACTCACATGCTTACACATACAAGCCACAGACACACACACAAATGCACTTCTGAAGCATGTGCATGCAGACGCACTATTCACTTGATTTTTCATCCTCTTAGGCGCTCTGGAGTTGTAAGGCAGAATGAGACGCAGTGAGGCTAGCACAGGTGCTGGGGTTTACAGAAGCCCCCGGAAGGCCAAGCGTGAGCAAAGAGCTCCTGCCTTGGTTCTGGAAACTGCAGCAGGCGAGGCCACACTTGTCATCTGGTCTTGTCCTTGGCTGTTCCAGACTCCAGGGCCACCTCCATTCTCGAGACCCAGCTTGTCTTGACTTCTACCACTTGCTCTCAAGGTGCCCAGAATTGGATCTGGGCACTTCGACCTGATCGGGTGGGCTCCGCGCCACACCACATGGGCCCACCAGCCCCGCTCGGGCTGGACAGAGTTCTCAGGCAGGATGCTTCATATTTTTCTGGGGTGCCGATTCCTGATCCAGTCAGTGGTAACAGGGTAACAGAGTTAAATGACACAAAACACAGGTAGCAGCTTATGCAAAAGGAACCTGGCTCTCCTTAAAATGGGGTTATGAGCATTGCAAGTGCCTGACATTTTCTCAGCACCAGTGCAGCCTCCCGAGAACAACTGGGAACTGCCTTCCTCCCCTCTCTCAACTCCTCTATGCGCCCCCTCCTTCCCTTCCCTTCCCTTCCTTCGTTCCTTCATTCAGGAAACATTTCTTCATTGCCTACTGTTCCCGTTATCTATTGCTGTGTAATAGACAATCCCCAAACTTAGTGGCTTCCAAAGAAAGCCATTTTATTATATCTCACAACTCAGAATTCAGGCAGGGCTCGGCTGGGCAATTCTTTTTTTTATTTTTAATAAATAAATTTATTTATTGGCTGCATTGGGTCTTCGTTGCTGCGCGCGGACTTTCTCTAGTTGCGGCGAGCGGGGGCTACTCTTCCTTGCGGTGCGCGGGCTTCTCGTTGCGGTGGCTTCTCTTGCTGCGGAGCACGGGCTCTAGGCATGCGGGCTGCAGTAGTTGTGGCACACGGGCTCAGTAGTTGTGGCTCGCGGGCTCTAGGGTGCAGGCTCAGTAGTTGTGGCGCACGGGCTTAGTTGCTCCACGGTATGTGGGATCTTCCCGGACCAGGGCTCGGACCCGTGTCCCCTGCATTAGCAGGCGGATTCTTAACCACTGCGCCACCACGGAAGTCCCCGGGCAATTCTTTTGCTCCTCCTGGCATCGCTGTGATCACTCAGTGGTATTCGCTGGCTGCTTGGCTGGTCAGGAAGGTCAAGGTGGACCATGACGAGTGCCTGGGCAGGAAAGGCTAGAACGTTTGGGTCACTGGACTGCACTCCTTCTTTATGCTACTCCGGACCCCTCCAGTAGGTGAGCGTGACTTTGTACGTGGTGACTGTAAGAGTGAGCGCTGCAAGAGACAGGAATTGGAAGCTGCCAATCTCTTGAGGCCTGGGCACCAAAATGGGCACAGCATCCCTTCTGCCGTACTCTATTCGTCAAAGAAGTCACAAAGGGGCTTCCCTGGTGGCACAGTGGTTGAGAGTCCGCCTGCCGATGCAGGGGACACGGGTTCGTGCCCCGGTCCGGGAGGATCCCACATACCGCGGAGCGGCTGGGCCCGTGAGCCATGGCCGCTAAGCCTGCGCGTCCGGAGCCTGTGCTCCGCAACGGGAGAGGCCACAGAAGTGACAGGCCCGCATACCACACACACACACACACAAAACGAAGTCACAAAGGCCACCCAGATTGAAAGGGGGTGCAACAAGAGCCTAGTCTCCGTCCTATCTGTGGGAGGAGTGTGAAAGCATGGGTGGCCAGCTTGAATCTGTCACCTCTCCTATCTGCTGGGAATCGTGAGAGATGCTGTTAAGTAAAAGAGCGAATAACACGAGTACTGCTATTTCGTTCCCTTTTTCCTTCCTCTGGGTTAAGTCCAGATCTGGGGGTAGACTTTCCCATTTCCCCAAGTTACTCGAGAAATTCTGCTTGACATCGTAGTGGGGGTGAGTGCGGCAGGGAGATGAGAGACAGAATCTGGGCAGCGCAGGGCTACTCTTAGGAGGTCACGTGGGCTGGGGGGTGAGATCCAGGAGAGAAGACACTGCAGCTGAGATGACCGTGGCGAGGAAGGGCGTGCGGGGGTAGGGTGGCAAAGAGGAAGGCGCTGTCGCGATCCTCGGCAAGGGAGGACCTTGACGTCTGAATCTGAGTTCCTTCTAAAAGCAGAGCCTGAAAATGAAGACTTGGGTGCAGGGAGTTCCTTTGGGAAGTGACCCCCAGGAAGCACGGTGAGGGGGAGGGGAAGGAAACCAGTGAAGGGTGAGCTGAGGGGCAGGTGGGCTTCTGGGGCTCAATCGTGCTGGAGCCCCCGGGAGACTCTGCAGGAGCCACTCCAGAGTTGTCAACTGAAGAGCAGCAAAGCTGCGCTATTTATACACCAAATTCCTTCCGTCGTTGATCAAGGGTTGATCCTAGTGTCTTAAGCTTCCAGTACTTTTGCCCCACTCTGCACTGGTGACCATGCCAGGATAGTCACTGTGTCCAGGAGCTGCCTGTTGGTGGCCTCCAGGGTGGCTATGAAGGTCTGCCGAGATGGTTTATGGTGAGAATTTCTAGTCCCTTTGCGTGGGACATGGACAGGGCCTCTGCCTCACACGCCTCCAGGGGGCGCCCGTCACATTGTCTTTCATGTGAAGGGTGCCTCCCGGGATGTGCCCTGTAACCCCCCCCTCCTCCACCTTCCCACGAATTCATCATTACAACCCACAAGGCCCACGAATGCTTTGGGAGCCAGCAGATTCTCTCTGAGGTACGTAACGAATGCCAAGTCCTGAGTCAGGGTCGGCTCTGGGCCAAAACAAAGACGCTGATGGGGACAAGTGGTGCGTGCGGTTACCCCGCACTGGTCTCCGTGCGGCACAGAGTCCAGGAAGAAGGGGAAAGAAGCACCTTCATAAACACCAGGCCAACCTCTGGGACCCCTTTTCGTGTTTTCCAGTGCTTAAGAGACACGTGGAGTACTTAATCCACTGAGGGCAGACCAAGTTAGCAGGTTCGTTCACCCTTTGGGGAGAAAGTGACTTGACCCCTCTGAGTTTCTGTCTCCCCATCTAGAGTCATCTCTGAGGCCTCTTAATACCCTAGCAGGCTGTGATCTGTGATTCTACGGGGAGGGAGTGAGACGATGCGTCTCAGTGAACACTGGGAAGCTAAAAGTACTGTACAAACTGAAAGCTTTCATGCGATTGTAACTGTTATGGCAACACAGAGAGCTCTGTGGAAACAGCCTCCACCTCGGTTTATGCTCCTCCTGTAGGAGCCCTGACCCCACGCTCCATCACCCTGCCTCCCAGACTCCTAGCAGGATCTCTGTGTCCTTGGTTACTCCTTGAAACCTATGTTGAGAGACTCTGCCTTTCTAGTGGTCTCTTCTTGACAGGGGAAGAGGGCACCCCAGACCCCTAGTTCATCCATATGCCCTAGGATGCCTCGGGCCACACCACAAAGGGCCCATTCACCAGTTCATGCCCATTACTGCATTCTGCGTGGACTCTGATGGGTGT